GCCTGACAGCTTGTCTTAGTTCAGCATATCTCTGAGGTTACCTGGACAGGCGCATCACGTGCACCCACAAAAACCTCATCGTTCGTTCAGTTTGTGCAAGGACTTGAAAGCAGTGGCCATCTTGTAGCACCGGCTGCTTTTTATGCTCGCAAATTCAAAAGTTCATCCAACGGCACCATTGGTGGCCCGGTGTATCGGCGAAGAACAAACCTTGCCTTGCGCCAGATTGAGCGTAGGCTCACCATCAAGAAAAAAACTTTCCTAGTTGTGAAGAATTCGCCGGCTTTGACGGGTCGCTCGTCGCAGCGATAGAGGAATTTTTGATACCGTGTCGCGAATGGCGGATTCATTTTAGTTTGCACGCTCGAAAAGGACGTGATTGCTATCTAGGTCGTTTTGAGTTTAGTTCCAAACCTAATACGTAGACGAATACGCAATGAAACAAGCTTTTCTTTTACAAAATTCTCTACCGTGTTCATAGAGACAATACGGAGACCTATTGGCGGCACACTGCTTTCGGCTGAAAAACCTTCGCGAGTAAAATAAAACATTTGCCCCAAAATGTTGCATCTTGCTGCTCACGACAAAAGTCATTTTAATCAACCTTCATATTTCCTCAGGTCACCAAATTGCATCGCCCATTGAAGCAACGATACCCCTGGAGAAAAAATCTGGTGGAATACATTCCTAGCGTTGCTGAGACCCCGAAAGCCTAGATGGGACTATAAAGGTCGGACGCGTAATTTGAATTCAATTTTCGGTCCCTTTTAGTCCATGAAGGATACGTTGTAGCTTTCGAAAAATGCATAACATTATGCGAATGCTAAGCGCCGATAATTCGCAAAGCCACAGCCAGCCATTCAAATGCGTATTCCACGCACGCAGTGGAGTCCGAGTTCATTTAAACACATTGTAATAAAATTGAGCACGCACGTGGAGATTTTAGGGGCTAGAAACTATACCCCAGCCGCGAAATATATGTCCGTGATTATCAAGTATTGTGTGCATCAGGCTGCAGTAAGTGCTGTTCTGTTGTGTGGCTGGGACCTGGCCTGTTTGTTTTGCGAAACCCAGGCGCTAAATCGGATAGCCTCAGTACGATTTCCGAAGGTGCCCTCTGTTGGTTAGGTTGATGATGTGCTTGAGTATGTGATGGTTAAATCTTTCGATGAGGAAGACCAAATTGTTGATTTTAATAAGCTTTATTGTATCCGTATGAGAGCGCAGAACTTGAAGAATCTTGGGGTGGGGTGCTCTAAACGATCGAATTTGACACCAAGCGCCCCCTCAGGTTTCACTAGATCTTCGCTACAACCCCATCTATGGGTGCATTTTTGAGGATGCGTGTGGCCCATCGATCTTAAGGCTCAAGTCTACGCCCCTTATTAGCTCAACTTACAAGCATACACTTATGTTTAGCTTTAACTTCGCTGCGCCCAATAATGAATATGGTTGCCAGATCCCCCCATCGGATCATCGATGTTCACACGGCGTTTCATTATCACCAATTGAAGTGCTTAGCAAATACTGAGTTTGCCTTTATAACAGTAAGTCTCTAGGTTCAGCGCGGAGACCGACCGGAAATTATGGACAAAGGAATTTGTTAGTAAAACTGTGTTTCAAATGATATCGCGAGTCACCGTTGATTATGCCTTTTTTCAGAAACCCTGTCGAGTGAAACCTGAGAAGCGTGTCGACCACACATTGTGTTTGTACTGATACAACCAATAAACAGGAACATGGGTTGTTCAGGGTGGTTGTTGATTTTTTAGGCATGGGGTTGGCAGGTGACGATGCATGGATACGAAAGACAGCCGCTGGTTTTCGGGATGTTCTATTATGTGTAGTCGGGGCAGTATAGTCAACTACGAGCATGTGCATGGGCCCGGCAACTACTATATGCAGTCTCGGGAGGTGACATTGAGTATAGCTATGAGTTTGACGAGTCATCATTGGCCGTTGGACTGGGCTACTGGGCATAGTTGAAGCCTCATAATCAACGTTGCACATAGACACCTAGACACAGCCTAGCAATTGGGTTAAGTAGCTTAAGCAGGCCGTTAGATTGGGAAGTCACACAGAGTTGGAGCCTCATTTTTATTGGCCGTATAGGTACTGGCCTGATGTTTATAATAGGTAGTCGATATAAGCGAGAGCGCGCACAGTTATGGTATGACGGGCAATCGTCGGTAGTCAGGTTAGGACACTGCGCATAGTTGCGGTCTAATAGTCTGCGTCGCATACGGGCACTGGGCAAGTAGCTCCAAAAACTAGTCAAGTTAGGCGATACCGCGTACAGTTATGGCAGAAGGTCCATAGCTTTCCCTTAGTTTAGGTATGTTTAGGCCTCGTATTCATCGGTTCGCATAAATACCCCCGACGTTTATCATAAGTGGGAAAGATAAGCGACAACGCGTGTAGCTATTAGTGCGACAAATTGGTTTGGATTAGGTCGCCGGCCGATCAACCCTGCACATGGACACAGACCTAGCAGGTACGATAAATAGCTAGGTAAGGCGACATCGGGTACAGCACTCAGTATGACAGGCCGTCAGATTAGGCTATCACGCATAGTTGAGGCCTTATTTTTACCGACCCGCATAGATGACGGCCTGATATTTACTATAGGTAGCAAAGATAAACGGTATCGCGCCATTAAACTATGTTACTGTGCACAGGTGAGGCCTCATTATCAGCGTCGCACATAGACACGAGCCTAGAATTAACAATGAGTATTCGAAACGCGTAGAGTTATGAGTATAAGGGGCCATTGTTGATAACTGGATTTTGCCACCGTGCATAGGCCAGGTCCCATGATCAACGCCGCACACAGACACGGACCCATCAGTTACAATAAGTATTCGAGGTGGGTGACAACGGGCACCTTATGATGGCGACCGATTTATGGCGGTCACCACCTATTGAGCACCATCGTAACAATAGGAACGATACCTGCAGCTATCTCGTGGCGTTGTATTATCCACAGGCTAGTTAGGCATACCTATGAAAGGGGATCACCCACAGAGATTGCCCTCGCATCGCTGCTGCACAGTTCGCCTGTTGTCTAACAGTGTTACGTTTGATGGAATTTGGAATCCACGGGAAAACGTGTTGTGACCGGGCTCATCGAACAAATACACCTCATTTGTTAAATCTGAGGGGCATAGAGCAAACAAACGTCAATAACCGGTCTTCCAGGGTGAAGTTTGTACTAGATTTTCTTTAGATCTATTTATTCTCAATGAACACCGAGGAGTGCTAAAATACGCTGACGTAAGCTTTCGTGCCTTACTCGCGCAAACCAGTAACAAAATGAGGACTGGTGATAGTCCGTGACCTTGACATTTCGCTCACTTAAAAAAGTGTCACGAGCAGCATGTCGCCGAAAGGTGCATTTAGATTCGACTAACTCCACGTTTAAGTCACAATTTCAAAAACCTTTAGTTTCGGCGTAAACTATTTGGATGTGCTTCTAGTCGGCGGCCAAAGAATCACGCAAAGCGAAACAGCCGTTGAAGGTAGCGCCGTGCGAACAAGCCTGCATGAGATTTTCACTGCAAGGATATTCCGTTTATAGGGTAAGTAATGCCTCCAGTTGGTCGCTCACCCACCTGGTAGTGACATTTCGGCAACACTGCGCACCAATGAGGCTACGCGCTTCCATCAGGACATGTACTGATCAAAAGGACCTTTAAAGTCCAATGTTTCGTGTCGCATCGTTTTGACATTCGACTCTTCCCGGTAGAAATGGATGACTGGACTTCAGGTCAGGTGAGTGGGCATCGTCGACACCTAGCACGTGTCATTCGTGCGCGTCACCTAGGTTCCTTCAGCTACCCTCTGTCATCGACTACATGACCGTCCTGCATATTTTGACGGTTACCCTTGAGAAGTTTGCTGTTCAGCGACGAAATTGCATAGCTCATCAACCTTTGTAAGCCTTACGGTTCTCCTACCTCGCATGGTTTATCCGACGATAACGAACACGTCTTCCGTGATGATAACCCGAAACGTATTATTCCGTATTCGTGCAGTCACGCAGATATAAATAACGTAAAGCGTTCACGTATATTTCGCGCCCACAAGTACCATGTAGCTTCTAGAAGGCTCAGAGTATTTTTTTCAGCTATCGAGCTATCTGCAACTTACGTCCGATTTACGCATTTTTCGTTCTAACGCAATTCACGATATCGTGTTGCATTAGGTATCGTTTTCACAGTCGGTGGAGATTGATGACCTTGAGATTTGCTCAGTTAAACGAGTCAGCCGTACAGATAATTTGCAGAACAACTCAATATATGTAAACATTATTTACGATGACTTGGTGACTTTGAAAACGTCGTGGCCTTTAAGAATACAGTTCTTTTGTGGGAACACTTATCGGCGTACCGGAACGAGTATGGTTTTAATGAAGGTAAGCTAGTCCTGTCTGATATGAATTCTCCCCAAGCGTGCTGTCCTCTTTTAACTCTCCGCGTCATATCTGTTCACTTCTCCAGAAGGAGAATCGATTATCTTCCCTGAACTTTCTCATTTAGTATTGACAATGCTTCGGTCTTCCCAGTGATCTATATGCTAAAGTCCGTTTGACAGAATCAAAAAAATCAGGTCTGGGTACCCTGTCATCATGTTACTACATTACACTTCTGTTTCATTATTATCATTGTCATCATTACTTTCGTTATTATCAATCAAATAGTGGATGTCACCCATCACTATCCACCTGTACATTAGACTCCACTGAAATGGAGTCTAGCACCGTCCCCTCACTAAAATATAACTCTATAGAATTTGTCTAAGCTGTAGATCCTTGATTTGGATTTCCGCTGGCCAGTTTTCCAAAGCCCTTGGAAACGCATGAAACGTGGAATTAGCCAACCAGAATGCTGGCTTTTCAGCTTGCGCACCAGCCTAGCTTTGGGTCCGGGACGGACTGCGCGCTCCAATGGTTCACGATGAGTACAAACTGTAGGTTGGTCGTTCAGTCTTATTTTCTTCAGGTTTACGTCACCGGATACGTATTATATTCTGGCCCTTGGGACGAAGGAGGTTCTCCTTATTGACAGGATATCTCAGGATCTAAGGATCGAACGTATGTCACTAGTGTGGTGTAGAAAATCTGTTTCCAGAGGACCTAAATATAATACCGTCGGGCTTGGATTCGACGACACTTTATGGTCTGTGGGGGGTGGTTCGACTGTTATCCGGTAGCTTACTCGCTTTAATTTTTATGTTCCTGAATAGGGTATTATTTACTGGCTATTACTGAGCGAGAAAAAGTGGGTGATATTTTCGGCCATACCATATGGAAGATTACCCGGAGTTCCGTGCTTCCTTATGTTAAGTCTGATATTAATTTATCGGACATCCAGGTAATGGACTACTTATGTGAACCTGTACATGTCCCCTCGACAGACCCAAGACGAACGAGCATATTGTCAAATGCTTACAAATGTGCTCGAAACGGAAGGATTTTACTACTCGACTTCATTCGATATAACACATACGCAACAAAGACTGTCGGACACACCCCCTGAATTCCGCAACAAGAGTCTTTTCGAACGGGTATGTCTAAGTTACATGTCTGAACTACTTGTTTACCTGTTTTCACTTTTCTCTGAAAACGATAGCCGTGACGAAAGAGGGCGGCCACCGCTTGACCAGTCAGATCTACTGGTTGATAGTTAAGGCCTTGCCAACCGGAAGCGTTCGGTATCCCTTATAAATTCCACTGGATACGGACAATCAACCACGTCATTCCTGAAGCTGTGAGCACATACGGAATTAATCAGTATAGTGGTTTTCTATCAGTCAGACGTCTATTACATCATACGACTTACCAGAGTTAGGCCTGGTATCTCACCTCATTTATAATGACGTATCGATTCTGAAGCTAGACACCCAGTCGTTCGAACATCTAGGAACGAAGCGGTGATGAAATCAGATGGGGGATTACCGTGGTAGCAAACGCAAGCGGGAGCGAAGCAACTTCGGCCCCCTAGGTGTCCATACTGTTGTCCAGTCCTTATCAAATGATCTCGGAGGTGATAGCTTGTGAAAGATTTTAATGGTCATAATGAGGATGTTTAGGAATTTCCGGACCAGAATCTAACACTTGGACGTGGTTCTGAGGCTTGTTTGCGGGTGACACTGGCCAGAACCTCGTTCCACGAGGCACAACCATACCAGGAAGACCTTAAGGAGAGCGGTGACCCGTTCCACAAGGCTATATGAATTTTCAATGAGAGGGAAGTTAAACGGCCGGATACGGTAGGCCATAGTCCCCAATGCATGGCAGTCTCCCATCCTTCCCTATGTCATAAGCGAATGAACCTGTAGCCGTTTGAACCGAAACATACTGTCTTGTAGCTGGCTGTCTCACTTTGTTTAGAATGATTGTAGCGATTCTTCAGTGCTTCTGACAGATGAAATACTGCTCGTGGTGATCCCAATGAGAGGTCCACGACCTGTTACCATTTGAAGGAGCTAAGTTGGTTAATCGTGGCATTTTAGTCCCTCTGGTAGGAGGCAAGGTTGATTAGGTTATAAAACAGATCAATGGTGGAAGTACAGCATGATCGTTTGGGCTAACAATGAGAGTCACCGCACTAACTCCAGAGCCCTGCGTTTTCTGAAACTGTCTCACTCTTCAAGACAGGCATTAAAATTTCGGGGAAATGCTGACTTAGGGGTTCACTGCATTCAGAAGCCCCTGATATCAGGAAATTTTTCATACCAACTGTCTATATTTACTTTGCGGATTGGCAATGAATTTGTAAATAGTCGTGCAGTCAGTGCACGACCCTGTAATTCACACCTAGGAGCTTTCCTTAGGAGATCATGGAGTCGTACCCAGTGGTCTCAATGCCTGCTTATTTTGAGTCAACCAGGGTTGGCCTGGTAGGGTCTTCTCCTAGCCAAGCCGTTTTATCATTTGCATCGCTTATGGTGAGCTCGCCGTTTTCATCAAATATCAATTCTTTCAACAGAGCGAAGGTGATAGGTAAATAGATTAATAATTTTTCTGTTTTCTTGGATAACCCGATTGATTCATGCGGAGGTTTCAGCAAGTCTCATTCATTTGCGTCCCCAAACCTTGTCGACAGCCTCAGCATCTGTATTTCCGTGGATTCCAAGTGCGACTGCTTCAATGAAAGAAGGTTTGCTGTCTGCACTCACCGCGAGGGGATTCGGGTTTGGTTCACTTAAAATGTTTACAACTTCCAGCTTCGAATACAACAGGTTTGTTTGAGGCTTTTGGTTACAGCTTTCTGTGATTAGGTGTCGTGAATAGAAGTATTTGAAGAGGAGTGAACTGAAGGTAGTTAAACGCTTGCATGTAAACTACAGTTCTACCACAGTTCTACAGTACAAAGAAATACCTGGTTTGTTACGTTCCATAGTTTGGGAATTTCCATCAAACTTATGAGTATTATCGCTTCAGTGAATGGAGAACTGTTTTCTAATACAGCTGTTAAGCCAGAGTCGGCGCAACGCTCTATCCAGTATGGAGCGTCATGACTTGATGTGGGAAATGAGCAGCATCATGTGCTTATCTAGGATAACACCAATGGTCCCTTTGTATTATTTTTTCAACAGTGTGATCCTCGGTTTACTTGGAACCGTTTTCTGCTAACCACCTGGGCGGACCAGCTAGCTTCCGCCGCTTCGAGATTGTGTGGCGAGGGTGTCCTGAGAATGGCGACATGGGATCGATTTGCTTATTGCGTACCGGTTATCCAAGGATTTGTTGGTATCATTCATAACCCGCAAGGCGACAGCGGTTTGAGCAAACGCGGTGCTGTTTATGCAATCATCTCCCGTCGCAGTGTGCAGCGTGTCGGAACCAGATTTAACTCTCGCGGATTGGACCAATCTGGTCACGCGTCAAATACGATTGAGACGGAACAGTTGTTTGAAATGGATGGGAATCGCTTCTCTTTTGTGCAGGCGAGTTTCATTAGTTTGAACTTTCGATCCACGGCGTAGATTTCATAGGCACTACCACATTTCGACACTGAATGTTCTGATTTCGGTTCAAAACGTGCGCGATGTTTTAATGACTTGGACTTCCAATTAGTATGCGTTTCGACTTTTGAAACACTTGAACTTCCTTTTGAACTTTAATCAACGACGCTCCTACTATTCAAACACTTATCCAGTCCGGCGTACTCTAAGTTGCTGTCTACTATTGATAAGAATATCTGCTCCAGTATTAAATATTGAAAACCTCTTCTCGTTAACAAATCCAACAGTTTATTCCGTATTTGCGAACGGGATCGACTACCTGGCTTGTTTCTGGTCTGTCGAACAATCGAACTTCAGATAGTGGGGCGAAATGTTCATTCGCACTGATTTGAGCCTCGACAGCACAAGTCACCGTGTGAAGGTATCTGTACAATACTTATGTGACACAGGCATCTGGGATAAAGAAGACAGGAGAGGATGTTAGTGTTAGGAAGATATTGAATCGATGACGTCCTACAATGCCATCCAACCGATGTGCTCTTGTACGCTTTCGAACGTCCAAAATATGGTGGGAATGTGACGGACCGGATAGTCTCTCGCCTTCCTGAGATAGTCCGTCGTCTGTGCGGCGGAGGTTTTTTTACGCATGGCATACAGATCATTATCCCGTCAAGACCTATATAGTTTTTTATCATATACGCTTCTGAAGGTGTGTTTTTAGTGCGCATTCGTCACACGGACACTGGAACTTCGTACAAAAATACATCAGTCCATTCGCTGCCCAATTTTTGCAGCTTTCCTCCGCCAGTGCCGCTAAGAAGAGCTCACTCCCCTCATGTATCCTGTTTCGAAGAAATGTACCGTTCGATCCTGTGCATACTTCCTTGAGGAATCCCTGAAATTATCTGACTTAGGTCCTTGTTCCCAGAAAGTATCACCATATGCGTTGGCCCACGCTGTATCTTATTTTGTTATGCTTCAGCAGTGTTCACCATTTATCAACTCTAAATAGTACCACCACCGTCACGAAGAGACTGGACCTTATCGTGGTGTAGCGGTTTGTGTACCTCGGCGACCCATTGAGCTATACTGGGGGGTGTCCGCGCGACACTCACAGAGTCTCTCATACCAGGTTGGTCAATGGTTAGAGGTC